AGAGCTGAACAAGCAGTTCTTGGGAAAACTACAACTCAGGGATAACCAATCAGCAGGCACCCCACAGCCTTCTGCTAGATAAAGACCCTACCCTGCCATTGGAAAGTTCCTGACCACTGGAGGCACTTAACAATCTTATAGACTTTTTGTTTAAACCCACCAATTAGCCCTGAGACTAATCTCTCCTTCCTGGAATTCCCCTAACCCTGCTTAAGGAGGCTGTGAGCTTCCCTCATGGTCACCATTTGCTACTTTGTCAGATGGTTAGACCCCAACATATAGGATATTTTTTAATAAATGCTCTTGTTGATTGCATACATGACTAGTGGTCTTTTATGAGACTTCTCTTGGACCCTAACACACTCCATAAACATTTTATCTTCTTTTTGCATCCAGGAGATATGCAACTAATGTAAATAAAACTCCCATGATAACTGTAGATGAATTGCTAAATGGTCTTATTCAAGAAAAACCCAGAGCCAGATATTGGGGTGAAAACCTGAGAGATCAGAGGAATAGGAAAAGCCACAAATTCACTTCACCTTACCAACTCTGCAGCTTCCAAAGAGACCTATTTACTGTATACCCACACTTATCTGTCTTTCTGTTCTGCTATCTTATTTGCTCTCTGTCCAGCTATATCACTTCCTCTTCCTGCCCAGTTCTGTCACTTCCTGTCTGTCTGTACAGACCTACAGACCTCTATGGTTAGTGCTGGGTTGAAAGGTGTGTGTCACCACACTTGGCTCTGTTCTCAGTGTGGCCTTGAACTCACAGAGATCTGAATGGATCTCTGCCTCCCGAATGATAGGATTAAAGTTGTGTGCTACCATTGCCTGACTTCTGTGTCTAGTATAGTGGCTGGCTTTTCCCTCTGATCCTCAGATAAATTTTACTGGGGGACACAGTATATTGGCGGGCACAATACGTCACCACAGATAACTATGAGGATCACCATATAAACAACCAGTCATAAAGAGTCATTCTAGAGCCAGGCATTGGTGGTGCACATCTTTAATCCCAGCACTTGGGAGGCAGAGGCAGGCAGATTTCTATGAGTTGTAGGCCAGCCTGGTTTATAGAGTGAGCTCCAAGACAGCTAAGGCTACACAGAAAATCCCTGTCCCCCCCCCCGCCCCCCCGCCAAGAAAACCCCCAAAACAGAAATAAACAAATAAAAGTCATTCTAGTGGAAGAGACTGAACATTTGAGTCGGGTCAAGGCAAACACACAATTTCATAACAGCAAACAAAGGGAAGTTTGGGAAACACACCATCCAAATCACACCTTTTCTAGTGTCTGACAAGATAGGAAGATCTCGGCTTCCGCAAGCTGTCACTGTGAAACACAAACACATGGCAGACATAAACACGTGGAAATTAGAACAACACAGGAAGCAAATGTTAATTGAAACAAATATGTTTATTAATGTTTGTATTATTTTTAACCACATAGAAATCAGAAAATTGTCTCTATGCAGAAATAGCCTGAAAATCTGTCTAACAGAGTCTTATAGAAAACATTTCTATATGATCAACACATATTTGAAGATATAAACCTGAAAAATTAGAGGATAGTAATTAAGTTTTATGCTTGAAATGCAACAAAAACTGAAACTTAAAAAAAAGAGTCCTGAAGGACATAACGCCAATAGCTAGCACTATGACTCGAATTGTTATGTTCTGTTGGAAGTAAACTGAGACAGCATTTATCTTGTGTTGACTTTCCCTGGGAGATGTAAACAAACATTCATTTGCCCAGGTAGGGCACAGACAACAGACAACAAAACAGATCCACCTAAGTCTAGCTTAATGGACCAGTGAATTTTGGAGGGTTTCTTACAGGTGTGTGGATGACTAAAGGGCAGCCTCATCTCTGAAGAGCCTCCTCAATAATGGGTAAGGACTCAATGAAAGCTGCATCTCTAAAACTGTCTACATGACTTTCAGGCAGTGTGGGTGGACAGTATCACTCCATAGCTGTTGTTACTATGTGCAACTCTGGAGAGGGGTTTTATTTGTCTGTTAAGTTTCAGGACCATCTTGAGACTTGTGAGTTTTGAAGTCTTCCTGCGCTTCATCAATTTAGTTTATTTTCTAAGTCTTAAGGGCACTCATTGCAGGAGGAAATACTTCCATTTGAAGGAAGTAGCTACTGAGTTTCTGGATAGTATTTACTATTTTAAAGAATAAAAATGTTACATAAGTATAGGAATGGGTAAAGCCAACAGTAAAGTCAGTATAAATTGGAATACAAATATAATTTATGTGCTAACATTATTTGCTTTTAATGGACATTCAAAGATCTTATGCTTGAAGTACTTCTAGAACTAACCATGGTATTTAACAGAGAGTAATACACATAAATCCTAACTAAAACAGGAGGATATGATCAGTGCTGAAAGAAAAACATCATCAGAGCAATCTGTAAAGGAGCCTTTCCCTACAGTGGGAGGGTCTATCTTTTTTTTTTTTTTTTTTTTTTTGTCTGAGACAAGGTTTCTCTGTGTAGTTTTGGTACCTGTCCTGGTTCTCACTCTGCAGACCAGGCTGGCCTTGAACTCACAGAGATTCTCCTGGCTCTGACTTGGGAGTGCTGGGATTAAAGGCGTGAGCCACCGCCTGGCTGGGAGGGTCTATCTTCAGGGCAGCAAGACAGAAGTGTTCTGGGCTGAGCGTGCTGGTGCCGTTCTCGACTGTGTGTCCTGAGGGATTTCACTTTCAAATGTCAGGTGTTTATTTGGAATATATAGATCCTGGGAATAAGACACAGTGTTTGTGAAAGGGTTTATTTTTCTCGGCTGCTAGGGTTGCTTTAACTGGGACAGAGGGCAAATACAAGTGCTCCTCATTACAATGTGCAGCTATGCCTGGTAATAACCACCAATACAAGGCTGCATCACCCAGCCCTTTCATTTCTAATGTAGGTCATGTTTTTCCCAAAGGGGATATAATCCAAATAACCTTGAGCAACTCTTGAGGCTGTAGTGGATATGAAATTGGAATCCTGAATTATACCTAATCAGTCAGAAGCAGAGGTCACAACTGGAGCTTGTCATTGCAAACTGAAGAGGGGGAGTCTTGTGAGAAGAGCCATTAACTCATGAGACCTGACACTATCTAGTACGGATAGTTGTTAGAGTTCAGTTGGAGGACATGCAGCTGGTGTTTGACAGAAAAGGGATCGCTTGGTTTGTGGGGAAAGTCCTCATATGGTGGATTGTTGGGTGTGTGAACATAAGAATGGGAAAATAGCCATACTCTGTTCTTTGATAGATAGAGTCTAAAAATCCAAATGAACAACACATACATTAAGAAAATACTTCCAATATTTGCCTTCATGGTGGCATTTAGAAAGACCAGAGACATGAGAGTACATTATATCTCAAGGCAAACTAAAAAAACAAAATGATTTCAGGGACTAGAGATATGGCTCTGTGTGCTAAGTGCTTGCTACATAAGTATGAATACTTAAGTTCAGATCCTCAATGCCCACAAAAAAAAAAAAAAAAAAACAGGCATGGTTACACACCAGTAACCCCAGTGCTGCAGAGGATTCTGGACGCTGGCTGGCTAGTTAGCCTAGGTAAAGCAGCAGGCACCAGATTCAGTAAAGAGATCCTGTATCAAAAACTGAAAGGGAGATCAGAAGAGGAAGATACCCAAAGTTGACCTCTGACCTACACATGTACACAGGCACACACACACACACACACACACACACACACACACACACACACAGAAGTACACTCGTGTATACATGACACATGCATATATATGAGTATACAGGAGTGTACACAAGCAGACAGGAGAATACATGCGCATATACACTAAATGATTTCATAGATAACTCATTGAAAAACTACCTGAAATATTTGGGGACTGAATTCTAGTCTCTAGTTTTTAACTGAGTTGCAGAGCCAGCTAGGTACCAGCTCTATCCTGCAAAGCTTGTCATGGAGTGGGGTGTGATCTTGGAGGGCAGCGGCAGGCATCTAGACTGATAGAAGTAGAAGAGCTGATGGAAAGATGCTGGGGAACCATGCATAGAAAAGTCTGCAACAGATATAAATCACAATTCATCATTGTACAGTTGTAGAGGAATACTGCACTACCTAAGCAGTTTAACCTTGTTTCATTTTCAGTTTATTCAAGGAGACAATGCTCACATTTACTCTTTTACTAGTTACCAAAGAGTCAGTTGAATCCTCAATCTGTAAATGAAGCTTCAATGATTTCACTATGATCTTAAAAAAAATACTCCCCTCTTCTTCCTCCTAAGTGCTTGTTTTAATTCTGTTCCTTCACTCAGAAAAGAAGTTAAGATCTTAATATGAGTCAATAATTTTAATATGAAAGTTCTTGGTCTCACAAAGCACAAATGACTATGTATCCTCAAGTGTTTCCTAGACTAGGCAAGTACAATTGCAGAATGGACCAGTGTGTGATGGGATTTCTTTGGGTATAGCTTGTTTTGCTTCTATATCCTATGGAGTTTGTGAAGATATCTAATTACCTTAAAGGTTTGATGACATGTAATGTTTTGAACTAGAAAATGAATTAAAATACAATAACATAATAATAATAATAGTATTATCACCACAAAAATGATTATTATATAATAACATTATATAAATCCATAATCAATTCAATTGGAAATTAGTTATGTCTGATAAAACCTTGTGTCAAGAATACAACTTATTGCCAGGTGGTGGTGGCACACGCCTTTAATCCCAGCACTCTGGAGGCAGAGCCAGGAGGATCTCTGTGAGTTCAAGGCCAGCCTGGTCTACAGAATGAAATCCAGGACAGGCACCAAAACTATAGAGAGAAATCCTGTCTCAAAAAAAAAAAAAAAGAAGAATATAGCTTATCTATTTTTTTCCCTCCACACCTGCAGAAGAAGGATGTGTTTTTATCATCAGTCACAGAAAAAAAGACAATGTGGATATTTCTGTATTTAGGTAACAGCTGGGGGCTAATATTACTGTGATTCAAACATTACACCAACTGGGAATGAGTTTCTTTGCACAGTGCCCTCCTGAGAGCACCCTTGACCTCAGCATTTCTCAGACTGTAGATCATGGGGTTCAGCATGGGGTTGAAAAAACTATAAAATAGGAAAAGGATCTTCTGCTGCTCCTCAGGGTTCTGAGACTTGGGGGCCATGTACATGACAATGGCACTGCCAAAGAAGAGCCCGACCACACAGAGGTGGGAGGAGCAGGTAGAGAAGGCCTTCTTGCGGCCCTCCCCTGACTGCATCCTCAGAACAGACACCAGGATGCGTGTGTAGGAGACCAGCACTAAGCATAAGGGTCCCACTAAGATGAACACAGAAGCTGCAAAGATGACAACTTTGTTGAGTGTTGTGTCAGCACAGGCCAGCTTGAGGACAGACAGGATTTCACAGAAGAAGTGATTGACTTCATGAGGTCCACAGAAGGGCAGCCTCAGGATGAGGCTCATATGAACCATACTAAGGAGGGAGCCACATGTCCAGGATGTGATAACCAGAGCAGCACAGTCTCTCCAGCTCATGATGGAAGAATATCGAAGTGGGTGGCAGATGGCCACATACCGATCATAGGACATTACCACAAGGAGGAGACATTCTGTGTGTGCAAAAGCCATGAAGAGGAAGGTCTGCGTCATGCATCCAGCAAAGGAAATAGGCTTGGATGGATCTAGAAGGTTCACCAGCATCTGGGGTACAGTGTTGCAGGCATAGGCAATGTCAACGATGGCCAGATGACAGAGGAAGAAGAACATGGGGCTGTGGAGTCTGGAGTCTCCACAGATTATTCCAAGGATAACCCCATTCCCCAGCAAAGTGAAGGCATAGAAGAGTGAGAAACATGCAAAAAGAATTTGGTGAATCTTTGGGCCAAGGCAGAATCCCAGCAGGACAAACTCTGTGACCATTGTCTGATTTTCCTCCATTTCACTATGAAAGAGAATGCAGAGAACTGGGACACAACTGTTTCAAACAGAGGTGTCAATTTTTTGACATTGTCACATGACTCTGCCATCCACAGATGTGTTGGAAACAACTATTGTTTACTTGTCTTAGGGGTGGAATACTATTAACAACCTCCTCTAGGAACTTATTAATTAAAAGTAAATAAATAAATGCCTATAAAACTAAATTATCTATAAGCAAAATAACTAGTCTGACATTCAATTTTTAGAAGAAAAATGTGTCACCAATGATTATTTACTTAGAACCACTGACCCTGCGGCTGTCAAGAACTAGCAAATCCACACATATAAAATAACCATGAAGCACTGATCATTTCAGGCTTTATGTTGACAAATCTGTCAGGGAATTGCTGAATCTCAAAAAGAGCTCTCAAAATGAGATCAGCACTAGAATGGAAAAGAATTCCAGTTGCTTTGGTAGAAGTTATGATTGCTTCTATAAATATTTATATTCTAACTAGAGATTGCTTTCAAAGCTCTACCCAAAGGAAATAATGAAACAGCAACTTTTTATTATTAATATTGTTTTTGATGGGCAAGAGTAATTATGGGTATATACTTACCAAGTTCAATTTAATGTTCAGATACTTGAATACAACCTGGAGTCTTGTGAGGTAGTGAGAAGGGAGGATTTTGTAGAAACAATATCTAGTGGTATTGATTTATGATAGTATATATCTTTATCTAGATATGTAAATAAAATGTATGTAACTATATTTATACAGGATGAGCATTATGGTCTTGAAAAATAGAAACAAACTAACATTTGTTAATGTAGGAACTGGTTCACCAGGCAATTGTCAGAATCATTAACTTGCCACAGCAATCTTTTTATTGGAGTCCATAGACAATAGGGCATTCTGTGTTTCATCAACTAAATTTATAACCCTAACAACGTGTAAGCTCTTCAGGATTTGGAAGCTAGGCATGGCAGCTGTCTATGTGGAAACACTCAGAAAAAAATTTCATATGCAGTATCTGATCAGATCATCCCTTCTATGTTTATTTTTCATAAAAGAGCTAAAATGAAAATAAGATAGGATTCTCTTTTTATTAATTTAATCCTTTATATTTGCAATACATACCATACCTGAAATTTATAACACAACAATTTGCTATTCAAACTGAAAAACAGTAGCTGACCTCATCTTCAAGAATGCTCATATTCCTTAGCTGGCATGGTGGCCCATATTTTTAATCGCAGCACTCAGGAGGCAGAGGCAGGCAGTCTCTGAGTTCAATGCCAGCCTAGTCTACGAATTTCAAAAATAAAAGAATGCTCATATTCTTTACATGTAGGTAATGGAAAATATTCATAAATTGAAAATTCACCTTTTCGGTCATTTGACAAACACCTCCATTGTTAAATTAATGATGAAATAGCTTATACACTGTTTGTACAGTAAGTTGAAAACTTGTCTTTTTTTTTTTACCATAATTTCCTCAAGAAGTTTTGCTGACAGTCAATATAGTTTGAAGTGCCAACATTTATCAGAACTATTATATGCTCAAAATAATTTGAAGTTTAGCTACCCTTCCACAAACAGTGTGAGGAATAACACCGAGTTTGTTCCATCTCCTAGTTTAACTGTCATTATTATACAGGTGATGTTAAGAAATGTTCCCTGAAGAAGTTAGCATGAGATATAGGATTGCATTCTGAGAGAAAGAGACAATTGCAAAACATACTCACGAGAATAGCAATCCAGAGGTGAAAACAAGACAACTTAAAGAAAGATGGGACTGGAGAGGTTAGGGATTTCTTAAAGGCCACTCGTGATGGATGCAGTTTTTCAGTAGCAGGGCAGAAGGATTTGGTCAAAACATTGAGCCCAAATGTGGTCAGTTTCATGACATATGTATGTGGAGAAAGAGTAAAATAAAGAAGGAGGAGATGGATATGGAGAACAAACATCAGGCCTGAAGGCAGCATTCAGAAGTGTATGTAAATGATCTTCAGGAAGGGGAGCAGAGGAACCAGGTAATACAAAGATGCTAGCTACTTGGTGGACAGATGTCTGCAGGATGCAGCGATGGGTTTGGTGATTGGCTATCAATAACCTTACCATTAATGATCTCTGAGTAGGTCTTGCTATAATTTCGTGTTCTTCAACCATCAGGTAATAACTCCTTTTCATGAACAGATCTCTCTACAGGAAAGCAAAATATTTTTAGAAAAATTATGCACTTGTCACAATTATGCTTGAATTTTAAATAAGCTGTATTTATATAATAGGGCTGGTGCCTTGTCCTCTTGCACTTTGGCAAGGCATGATGTTGCCCCGGAAGGACACTTCCAAAGCTGGGTCTACAGTGTGTCGATCAGATCCTGACCAATGAAGTCCCCTTTAAGCAAGTTTTGGGGTAAAGTATGCTTTCCTCTCAAACAACAGATAATATCTCTGTTTTATTTGGGAGAAAGAAATGGCCAGATTTCACAGACATGAAAATAACCTAAATAATATCTTTATTTATTTTAAATGCATGATAGGCTGATTTCATGTTAGGGTAGAAAGAAGTGTTTTTTGTTTTTTTTGTGGTTGCCAAAGTGTCTAATTTTCTATTTAATAAAGTCTATTATAGTATGTTTATTTATTTAGTGTGCAAATGGGGGCATGTGTATGCCGCTGCTTGCACATGGGAATCGAAGAACAACTTGCAGGTGTTTGTCCTCTCCCTCTACCTTGTGAGTGTCGGGGATGAAACTCAGATGTCCAGGCTTGGGGTGGGCACCTTTGCCTGCTGAGCTGTCTTGCTGATCCCTACCTGTAGTTTTAAACACACAAAATTCTGGACTGCAATGTTGGAAGCTAAAGTAAAGACGAACTGAGAAGGTCAGATGTGTGAGCATCTTTTCAGCCCAGTAGCTCTCTTGTTTCCACCTTGAGAAAGCATTTGAGTGGCGCTGTTTGTTTTGTAACCCTGACAAATCATACACATTTGTTAGATGTGAAGTTAATGAAGAAATACAAACAACTTCTGTGTTATGAGATTGGCTTCATTTAAAATGAAGTCTACTATACTTGTGTTGAACTCAAGCCCAACATCCAGCAGGAAGTGAGTCCTAGAATTTTGAAACACTTTATTCCTGTGATCTGTATTAAAGGAAGACCTTTAAAATTTGATAAGAACAGCAGAAGGATTCAGAGTGTTTGGCACTTGAGTCAAGAACAGACTTCATTTCATCTTTTTTTTTTTTGACAGCTGTGTTAAAACAAATGGAAACCAAACAGATTCGTTTTCGGCCAGTCTACAGGGACTCCACATTGTGGGACTGTTAGCAGTCAGCATGTGTTGAGGAGCTCAGGGACTCTTGCTCCTCACTGCTGGGCTATTTGCTGATGATAGATTTAGGTAGAGGGGAAATCATTGCCTTCTGCTGTGCATCTGATGGTGAGCTCACCAGGCTCCCATGGTTAGTTACAATCCAGTGCTCACAGAATGGTCCTGGCTGAACTAAATTGGCCACAGAAGGAAGTCAGAGTCAGGAATCAGAGTCCCCAGTCTCCAGATGGTTCTGGTGACTCTGTCAGGAGCAAAGACTGATAGAGAGGAAGAAGGAGTTCCACAGAGGTGAGAGAGGGGATAGGAGAGGGTGGATGGAGAGAGTAATCGGAATGTATTAGATACATATATAATGTTGTCAAAAACAAGCTTAGTTAATAAAAAATCAAATCTCTAAGTTTTAATGAACCATCAGTCTCTTTCCTACAGTATTAGGCACTGGGTAAAGCAGAATTCATAAAACAGTCCTACATTGTTAGTCAATTGTTCAGCTCAAATGAAGCCTTCTTATTTGTAAATAATAAGAAAGAACTGAAACATATTACATTTCTTGTTTGCATAATTATAAACATAGACTTTGACAAGTTATCTTAAGGAGTGTGAATTGATGCACAAATGTTTTTTCTAGGGGTAGAGACTATCCTGGATGAGCAAGAACTAGAAAACCACTCTTGCATAATCACAGTCCATTCCATAGTTTGTTAAAGGCTGGTAATAACTGATCATTCGTTGAGTGCTCCTATGTACCAAGTACTATGGGAGTACAATGTGCAACGGGTTGATAGGTCTGAGACTGTGAAGATTGTGAAAGTATGCTTTAGGAAGAAGAGGAGAGGGAAAGAAAAAGGAAACTTTGGATACAAACATTGGAAATAAAATTCTTCTGAAAAGAAAACTTAGGTGTAGTTGGCCAACTCATCCTTCTCTCACTTGGCTATGTTACCACAGATACACAGTATCTTTTCTGCTTTCTTTCTGTCCCTACCTCAAAGACTCATCCTCAGTGCTAGAGAAAATCTACTTATTTACGGAGTATGTTCTAAATGTCTGAGTATGTCCACAAAGTTATATTCAGTGGAAGGCTAGTATAAAACATACACACACTAGTAATCATTTAGCTTTATATTCCATTGCAGCAAATGGATCATCATAAACACAGCATGTGTTTTGACAGTCCTGACAAGAATTAGATGCAACATTTAAAAACAACCAAATACATTAACTTCACTGGAGCAGAGCATCATTCCATAAGCTATTCTACTATAATGTCTATTAAGTAGGAAAATAATTCCACATATTTCATTTAAACCCATAAAGTGGAAATTCCTAACTATTTATACAGAATGTGAATGATGAGTATGTGTGTGCAAGCATTGTACTCCTACACACACAAACACACACACACACACACACACACACACACACACACACACACCTCACACAATGAATTTGTTTCTCTTTTGGATACAGAAAGAGTGCCAGTGAATGTGACAGTTAGATAGAAACAGATGCTACAACTTGTCTGGGAAGAATTAAAGGTGGAGTAAACCCAGGTAACCTCAATAGCTTCCACATTTAGGACCCAAGGATCTCGGAAGGGGAAGCAGCAGGAGGTTGGCACAGGTCCTGTGTCCTCAGAGCTTCTGTATATGCACAGAATCCTCACTATTTCCCCTTTCTGAAATAAAACCTCAGGAAAGGAGGTTTTATTCTCTGAGGGCTCAGCCTAGTTAGCAGCTCTTGAGGGTTCACTGGAGGCACAGGGTCATGAGACTTCATGCATGCTCACCTTTGCTAGGAAGCAGACACAATTGTGATCTATCTCTGTTCGCATCCCCAGCAGGACACACAATTAGGAAACATACACAGCCATCCAGCACACCCATGAGGCTCCAACTCTCATTACAGTTCTCAGATACTTGACATTATCTGTCCTCAAGATTCCCAGAATTGCACTGTCCCTAGTCTCCAGATGGTTCTGGTGACTCTGTCAGGAAGCAGGACTAGTTGCTGAGTTCCCAGAATCCACAGTACAGCTTAGCTTCTCCTTGGTGGAGCCTGGGTTCCTCGGGGTGTAGCAGAAGTGGGAAGCCAGGACCTAAGTTACATTTCAAGGTGTGGAGGTGCTGTGGGAGCTGGTAAGGAAGGCATCGGTAGTCCAAGAAGGGGCCAAGGTATCCCAGTGCGGCCTTTGGGGACCTGCCTTTGGGGACTTTCTTCTAGGGCACAAACCTCCCATGGAGATAATTTGTTGTGAAGTGTAGAGACTGAGTTCGGGCCCCCAGAGGAGGGAGGAAAAGACCCCTCCATGATACTTTCCCCTGGAAAGTACTTTTTATCTGTGGAAGGCTCTTCTTTAAGAACCTCTCTAAGACACTGTCATAGTCTTCATATTCTACTTCATTATTTGGAACTGGATATAGAATTTGTCAGAGTGTTATTTTAAAAAATTTCATGTCAACCAATCATGGAATTTACAAACTGGCTCCTTATAGCATGTCCTTGCAGGGAAATTTGTCATAACTGTCCACTTTTGAGTGCATGTCAGCCCGTGTTCCAATTCTGCTCGCTCCTGTGACAGCAATCATACACAAAGATGACAAATAATAGCTTCTGGAACAGGAAGATCTTGGTGCTTTGCTGGATGGACATTCATAAATAACACAGCCTCCTTTGGTTATGTTTCGGGGCATCTGCAAACTGTGGAACTCAAACAATTAACATTTAAGAGAAAAAGGGTATTAACAAAACAGCACATTTGTGGAAGCCGTTATTTTAAGACATGGTTCAATATCCAGCAGTTTGGCCACTGTAGAGTTATGTTAAGGTACAGAAGTAAAACATTTGAAGATGATAAGAAACTAAATACAGATGTATATGTCATGAAATTTAAGCCAGAAGAGGGAATCACTTCAAAAGCATGTTTTTTTTACATCGCAGCAAGTGGACACAGCTTTAAACTGCAGGTTTTGACATTTTCAGGTTTCTATAAGAAAAGCAGTTGTATTTTAAAACTCTGAAGCCAAACTTTTTTTTTTATTTCAAAATATAACCTTTTGCCTCTCGCTGTCTCTGTTCTCTCTCTTTCTCTTACAAACACACACACACACACACACACACACACACACACACACACACACACACAAACACACACACCACATATACTTTTCCCTTTTGAAAAGATAGAAATTGAATCTAGGGCTTCATGCATGCTAAGCAAGCACCATTTCATTGAGCCACATCCCCAGCTCATATATATATAGTTTGATTCATCTCTCTCACACACATATTCATCACAAATTTGGAAGATTGTGAGAATGCTGGACCAAGAAACAAGAGATGCTTGGAGTCATTGTCACCCAAGGATCATATTAAACAACAGAGTCAATGAATGACCCTCACTTTCCATAACCAAACAGACTCTGACATGCACTGATGTGAGTTACTGTCCTCAAACTGACAACCTTTGCAGAGGCTTCCTTGCAGGAAAAAGAAAAAGAAATAAATAAATTGGGGATGGGGTGGGGAGAGAAAGCATATTTGTCCTAGAAGGACTTTTCAGAAAATATCCACAAGTGGCCAAGGACTTTTCAGAAAATATCCACAAGTGGCCAATCAAGCTCCCCTGTTCCAGAAAACTTAAGTGTCTGAAAAAATGGCACAACTATCAACTTTGGCAAAAGCCAAAGCTTTAAAAAGTGCAGAATTCTTTTTTCAACAAAACAAAATTTTATAGCTTTCACTATACTAATAAAGATGTGAATCTTACCGAGAAATACAGCATGGAGTCATTCATAATCTTCTTCCATCACAAAATGTAGCGATGTATTATATACCTGAATATATTGTGTACCCTAATAAACTTATCTGGGATCAGAGGTTGGAGCCAGTCACTAGATTAGACATAGAGGCCAGACAGTGGTGGCACACACCCTTAATCCTATCACTTGGGAGGCAGAGATCCGTCTGGATCTCTGTGAGTTCAAGGCTACACTGGGAACAGAGTCAGGCAGTGGTGGCACATGCCTTTAATCCCAGCACTTGAGATCTCATGCCTTTGCTTGTTAAGCACACACACCTTTAATCCTAAGAAGTGACATGGCTGGGTGGAGAATGGTATATAAGGCTTGAGGAGACAGGAACTAAGCAGCAGCTTAACTGAGACCCTCAGGGGTGAGGATTCAGAGGTTCTTTAGACTGAGGATTTTGTACAGGTAACAATCACTGGCTGGCTTGCTCTGCTCTCTGATCTTTCAGCTTTCACTCCAATATCTGGCTCTGTTTTTTGTTTTTGTTTTTTTAAAGTAATAAGACCTTTTAAGATTCGTGTTACAACGGAAGGCATTTCGAAGTCCTCTGGAAGGCTTATGGTTTGAACAGAGAGGATTTTGGGGAGAAGGAACACTGCATCATGACTATCAGGGTCTCCAAGAAGTACTTTTTTGGAACTGTGGCTTTGAAATCTTGGCTGTGACTGGGACTAACTGCACCACAATCTGTTATTGTCAGCATTTGAAATTATAGATTTGTAGAATCCCTCTCACAGCTACTGAGTCAGTCATCCAAATGGAGGGCATGAGACAGCTCAATGCTAAATAAAGGTATTGCATATGCTCTGGATGGTTAGGACCCTCTTGAGAGGATCATTTCTTCTGTCAGTGGTTAAACATGATGCTGTAAACTTGTCAGAAAACTCTCTGTATCTTCAGAACTCTCTTCAAAGTATTCTTCACATCAGAGTTCCTGAGACTATAAATTAGGGGGTTGAGCATGGGATTAAAAAGGCTGTGAAACAGTAGGAGATATTTCTTCTGCTCCTTCGGGTTCCCATGTCTGGGTCCAACGTACATGACAATGGCCGTTCCATAGAATAATCCGACCACACAGAGGTGGGAGGAGCAGGTGGAAAAGGCTTTCCTTTGACCCTCCCCTGACTGGATCCTCAGGATAGCACCAAGGATACAGGCATAAGAGACCACGATTGAGGAGAATGGTCCCACAAGCACAGACACTGCCCCAGCCAGGACCATAGTCTCATTGAGGTGTGTGTCTGCACAGGCAAGTTTGAGAATAGCTGTGATTTCACAGAAAAAGTGATTCACTTTCTGAGACACACAGAAGGGTAAAGGTAGAAGTAACACTAGATGAACCAAGGACAGGAGAACCCCAATGATCCAGGAAGTCACAGCCATAGTGCTGCAGACCTTCCAGCTCATGATGGTAGAGTATCGGAGGGGGTGGCAGATGGCCACATACCGATCATAGGACATCACCACTAGGAGCAGACATTCTGTGATAGCAAATGTCAAAAAAAGATAGGTCTGCGTCAGGCATCCAGCAAAGGAGATGGGCTTGGCTGGGTCTAGAAGGTTCACCAGCATCTGGGGCACTGTGTTGCAGGCATAGGCAATGTCAACGATGGCCAAGTGGGACAGGAAGAAGTACATGGGAGTGTGGAGTCTGGAGTCCAGGCAGATAAGCCCCACGATGGTCCCATTCCCCAGCAGGGTGAAGGCATAGAACAGGGAGAAGAGGGTAAAGAGGAGCATCTGCATCCTTGGGCTGAGCGGAAATCCCAGGAGGATGAACTCTGTGATCAATGTCATATTGTTTCCCATATCCCTATGGCAGAGGAAACTGAGTTAGTGGCTGGTTTAAGGGTAGACTTTAACACAGATTTGTGCTGACTTCATACCCTTTGTAGGTTAGCAAAGTAAGGATAGCCGAAATGAAGTTTTGTTTTAAATGGACTTTTAAAGATTTCTTGTAGGGTGGTGGCGCACGCCTTTAATCCCAGCACTCGAGAAGCAGAGGCAGTCGATCTCTGTGAGTTCAAGGTCAGCCTGGTCTACACAGTGAGTTCCAGGACAGCCACCAAAAAAAACTACACAGAGAAATCCTGTCTTGAAAAACCAAAAAAAAAAAAATGTACACAAATATATTTCTTTTAACATTTACATTTTTTAGTTGTATTATTGTGTATGTGGACATGTTGTGTTTGTGTGGGTGCACTTGCCATTACATACATGTAGAGAACTTTGTGGAGTTTGTTTTCTTCTTGTACCCTGCTGTGACTCTAAGAGCACTGAACCATCTTGCTCGCTTTATGACTGTAACATTTTTGATGAATCTATAATTTCATAATACATATACCCATTTTAATGCAAGTCAAAGTTTGTTTGAAAACATTCTACATGTTACACCATAGTTTTCAAATAAATTCTCCTTGTCTTGGTTGACATTATTCAGAGTTATTCTCTTATTATTTTTAATTAGAAATAATGAATCCTAAATGATGGACCAATGTTTCAAAATTGTATTTCATTCACTATTGAGTGGAAAGTGTTCAATAGAATGTAATGTAGCAAGGTTAAACATACAAAAAGCATCATTCATCATCCCTTCCACAGACCTTTTCAACTCTACAATAAACACCTCACAAAGTCACAAAGTGTTTTTCTATTTAAGTGTAAAGGCTTAGATTCAGCCAAATTTTTTTTTTTGTCATTTAGTTCTTCACATTAACATTTAGATGAACATTTTTGTGACTGACCAGATTTGAACTGTTTGTCAGGCATGACAGCAGGAATAGTAACCTTGTCTTTTGGCTCAATGTTGACAAATACTCTAAACACAGTTTTAGGTGCCATCTCTACAGGTGGCTTGCAGTGACTCACTTTCTGTGGGAAATGCTGCAGAAACATTGCTATTGCTATTGGCAGACTGAACCACATCACCTCTCTAACTCTGTAATTCTATAGTAAAAATGTGAATACAAACATAGTTTTCCCCCTGTTGCATACATTTTATCCTATTTTACGTGAATTCCCCTTATGTGGGTGTACAATGATGAGTAATAATCCTTATTTTAAATAGGAATGAAATTCTACATCTAAGATTGAAAGATCTCATTATCAAAATATTAAATTTATATTGGACCTTACTTACTACTATCAGGGAGGTAAGTAGCATGCTCAGGCAAGTGAAAATAAAACCATATGCAGGTGTTTATTGATTTCTTATTATCTGTATAATCTTATTCTTAGTGTAGACATATCAGTAATTAAATTATTACCTCCTCATTGCTTAGACTTTGTATGTCATCAAAGTAAGGTTATGAATAATAAACATACATTTGTATACTTATTTGACAGGTTCCTATAAATGATAATTTGTTCATAATACTTTTTCAGGAATTCATTTGCACATACATGCCTCTATTTCATAAAAGACAAGCTGCTTGCCAAAATTAACCACTAATACATTGATTAAAGTTATGCATTAACATATTAATGTATAATATACCAATTAACATTTGTATGTCTTACTCAGTTTATCTTATTGTTGTAACTGTTGATGGGCAGAATTTGAACATTAAGAAAGTAGAACTGTAACTTTGTGACAGTAAAAGCAAATAGACAATGGAAATAACATTATATTTCATCAGAACTTACCCAAGAAATGAGGAAGCCTGGGTGTCTAGAGAAGGCTATTGTATAAGGACTATGGTAAACCTTCATTTAGAAAATGTAAACATTGCTTCAATTCTGTGATGACATTGGAAGCCTTGCTGCTTGTCTCAGAACTGACAAAGAAGGTCTATGCTTTTCAAGTTGCCTTTTAGAAGAGAAGGATTTATGAATTTATCACCTCTACAGGTCACCCTTTCAATTGTCATGAGAGCCTTGTGTAGTGCATGAAAAAATAGGTCTCTTTGCACCATCATGGTTCCTATAGAGACAGGAAGAAACCAACCACTGTGATTCTAGCCCACAGAGGTTTGAGTCTCTCTGTTTCTGTGTCTGTGGAAGTTACATCGTAATAAGATCTTCAGACATTCAGGAAGAATAGTCAGTACTTTCGTAAGTAGTAGAGCATGTTTATACAAAGTCATACTTGGAACCACAGCTACATCAGTTTACAGATTGTTGTAGCTTTATGAATTTTCATTTTGTTTCAGTCTTCAAACAATCAAGAGATATAGTGACAGATGAACAGATTTTTCCTGGTTATTGACTGTAAATAAAATCTTGAAATTAATCCCTTTAGGCCATACACCCTTTAGTCTGATTTTCTAGATACTTGAAAGGCAGTAGGAAAACGAAGTTGAATGACTAGGTCTGAATTATTGGATATTATCTAGAAATTCAGACCTTTCATCCCTAAGCACAGGTCTGGAGACGTGTAGGAGTCATCTTAGGGATGTAGAAGCCTTAGGACTTGTTGATTCATCTGTTGCTGGACACCGGGTTGGTCTCCTAACTTAGCTACTACTAAGAACAGTATTGTAATAAACATTAATGTGTGATTATTGTTGTGATATTATGACTTTGAGTCTTTGGGTAAATATGCAGAAGTAGTATAGCTGGGTCATATTGTAGATGATTTATTGATTAACAAATTAATAAAACATGATTTTATTAGTGCATATGCCTCCTTCCCACTTATTTGGAAAAAAATGAAATACAGCCAGAAAGTCTTCAGGTCAATATTCTATTTCTTCTACCCATTTCTTAAATACTTCTTTTAATAATATTTCTTATTTAATTTTTTACAACCAGACATGCATACAATATACCTTGATTATATCCACCCTCTGCTAACTCTTCTTCAGCTCCTTTCTGGACCCTTCATCACATCTCTGCCCCGCTTTCTTGGCTTTATTTATTTATTTATTTATTTATTTATTTATTTATTTATTTACTCACTTAGTTCAGTTAGTGTTGTCCATGTGTGCATGGGCATGGGACCATCCACTGAGGCATGAGCAGAAAATGTCTCTCAAATCCTCAGCAGCTATCAAGTGTCAAAATATCCTCAGGCAAAGTTGGGGCCTTGGGATCCCCTTACTTCTCCATCCTGAATTTTTAAAATTTCTTTATCCATTTAATGTATTTTTATGAATATACTTTGTATGGTAAACATATCCCCCACTACCCTGTTCCTTCTTCTTCTCTCCTCCATTTTTTGCCCCTCATCCCCTCTTCCATTTGTCTTCTATATTTCCCTTCATTTATTCTCCTTTATTCATGTCTAATGTCATTCTATAGACACATTCATGATTTTATGTGACTAAAGAAAATCTAAGAACCACAAACAAGAGAAAACACATGATATTTGTCTTTCTGAGACTGGCCAAACTCACTTAATATGATTATCTCCAGTTGCATCTATTTCCTTATAAATGACATAACTTTATTCTTCTTCATGCTTGGAAAAAATTCCCTTGTTTATATATACCTTTTTTCTTATTCATTCCTCTGCTATTGGAGACTTAGGTTAGTTCTGTCTCTTAGCTATCAAGAACAGGACTGCAATAAACGTCGATATGCTAATGTCTCTGGGACATTGGAGTCTTCTACACAAATAACCATTTGCAGATCTTTGAAAAAAGTCCATAATAGATGGACAAGTTTACATCTACCTATCTTATCAGCACATTGTGCTGGCATTGCTTTTCAAATGATCCAGGATCCGATGGCTCCTTCTAGTCCCCATTATTGCTACTCTTGTCTCTGCCACCTTCTTTTATCATCTGTGTTTTTGCAAGAGTCTCTTCACTTTAACTCAGCATGGGATGTGGAGTGTCCTGTTAAATTATGGGAAGAGCTATTATTACTTATCCATTAACAGCTTTTTTATGATTTTCTGACTCCATCATAGGTTTACAAGATCATCCTGGGATTTTTTTCAGTGGCTTGGTCTTGTACAGGTCATCATAGCTTTTGTGCGTTCATGTGTGCAACAACCATGTTGTGTCTAGTAACAGCATTTCTCAGCGCTGCTCCCCATTCTTCAGCTCTTACATTATTTCTGCCTCTCTTCTGAGACGTTCCCTGAGCCTTGGGTCTAAGAAGGGTTGGTACAGGTGAGTGCTGAGCAACAGGTGGGACATCTACATTGTTAGATTTTTGAGAAACTTCCACAGTACGTGGATTGGTTCATGTTTCTACCAGCAGAGTACAGGGGTTGCCTGTGTCCATATCGTTACTGACATTTGTTGCCAATGATATTTTTAATGTCTGATGTTCTAAGTGGAGTGGAATGGAATTTCAATGTAGTTTGGTTTTCATGTTATAACTTAATTGTCTTTCTTTTCATGTGATTAATAAAAGAAATAAAGGATGATACCCTTGAATTTGTTCCTTTTAAGTTGAAGGGGAAGCATCAGATCTTTAACAGTTCATTACTATTTTAACTATGGTGTTACCATGTACCCCTTTTCATATTAAAAAAAAGTTACCTAGATGGTTGAATGTGTGTTTTTCATGGAAAAGTGTTAGACTTGTCTGTCAATTGCTTTAAACAGATGTAAGGAAAGATTATATTTTTCTTTATTTATTTAACAAGCAGTAGTACATTTATTGTGTTTTGTATGTTCATATTACTGTACTCCTGGAATAAATCTCACTTGATCATAGTATTTGTGCTGCCTGTTTACAGGTTCTGGTTTCTGGTATTGGTTGAGACTGTGCACTTACATGCAGAAGGATAATGGTCTGTAGTTTATATTTCCTGTGGTGTCTCTTATATTAATGACATTGACCTCACAGAAGGACTTAGGAAATGTTCTCTTCACTACTATTTTTAAAACTCTCTATGAAGAAATAATGTTAATTCTTCCTTTTAAACTCTGGTATAGTTTGC